TTGACTCCTTGTGGTATCAGCAAAGGTGATAGCAGTAAAAATGTAGAATAAATTCTGCAATATGGATGAATTCATGCTCTACATGTGAACAAATATATTGGTTTCTAGAAGTCTAGAGCTCTACATACTCCATTTAAAAACAACCAGAGACAGTCTCTAGAACTTTACTAAGACAGTTTTTAGTCATCAGCTTCAAAATTGAATGAACGTGTAACAGATACATGGTAATACATACTATTTCATAAAGTTTCATCTGTTTCTTTTAGTGGCTGTTGTTTTACCAATTTTAGTGCCAGTACTGTTCAAAAGGTATGTTTCAATTAAGTTTCAGTTGTGTTCCCAAAAGGGTTGACCTTTGTGGTGTCCTTCCCTAGTAAGCTAGTTGTGATGGCAGCTTCAATGGACACTTAAGGTTTTAAATTTTAGAAAATATGTAGACATTTTGAAAAGCTGCCATCCTGAATTGGGTCAAGGTGTTTGTAATCTGGTGTTCTGTTTCCAGTCAATGCCCAGAGAGAAGTAAAATACCACAGCTATAGTGATAGTTCCCAAAACATATTGACAGCTCTATGATTTGTAACTCCAGGTTTCTTGAGCCTAGGGCTATATCTGCCTGTGTTTTGAAAGGAAAGACAAAAAGCATTGGACAGATTTTAATTACCTTATCCAGAAGGTATGCAGTGCATATGCTTTTGCTGTCCCCAGTTTAAAGACACTTTAATCGCAGATATTGCCTATAATCCTAATCATGGCTGAGCTAGTAGCTTGCATAATTATTGGATGTATGTTCAAAAGTTCTAGGAATAGTTTTTAATTGATAAAGCATGTGTAAAATTGCCAGAATGCCTGTTTTTAGTCTACTACCTATTTTGCTATAAATGCAGAAATGGAGTAGAATTTGTTTTACAGTAAAGATAAAAGCAGAAGTTTAGGAGGAAAAATTACTGTCAAAGTTTTAACAATAGCAACCAGGGATAGAGGAGAAGAGGAAGAAGTACTTGAGCAGACTCAGCAGGGAAATGCTATACTCTTTTGCAAGATTTCATCTTTGACACCAGTCTTTGGCTAGTGAGTACTTGTTGAGGTAGCTGGGAAGGTGGAGGAGTGTTTACCTCCTATTAGGTACAGTGCATGTGGATGTGGGGGTGTGGTATTTGTGTATGTGGGTGAAATGGAAAAATGTGGCTTATTTCCACTTCCCAATTCCATGATATAAATGTTTTAATCATAAAATTGATGAAGTTTTATGCCACTTGACTTTTTCTTTTGGTTTGTGTGTTTTATTGTTTGTTTGTTTTTTTTAAGGAAAAAATTATAAAATAAAATGTATCTGCTGAATCACTCTGCTGCAGGAAAAGATGAAAACAAAAAAACTCTTCAGACTGCAGTGGTTCTCTGAAAAATTGTATACAGATTTTTCTATAACAGTTATGTTTAAAAGTCATTGTTAAATGGCCCTTAAACTGACTTCCATCTGCTACAAGCCAGTGTTGATGTAGGAGAGTGCTGTATAAAACAAGTGCAGAACAAATTCTGACCGGATCCAGGTCTAACAGGATTGTTCACTCCTTTTTCTTTGTCTGAGATCGATGATCCGAATCACCTAAAATAGTCAAAGGTAGTCAGTTCCAAGGTGTCATAAGTCCATGACGGATTGGTTTTGCTGTCCTCACTCTATGTGTGTAATTCATTATGGGCTTAATTATATGGCTTTGGAGTATGTTAACGTGCAAGTTACACACAGGCATTTATAGCAGCTGGTTTTTTTTTTTACTCATACCTTCAGTATTTATGCACAAGAGCCTTAGGTAGGATTCGTGAGGTTTACGCAAGTAGGGAATGCTGATTCCTCATTATTCCAGAGGAGGAGGAGCACTGAGACCTGTTAACATAACCTCTTCTGCAGGGGCGGCAGAACTGCACCGTGTTTCCAGAGGTCCAGGCTGTGCCAGCTGTCGTTCACAGCAGCTCCCTGGCATGACTGGGCAAAGCCCAGTGGGTGCCTGGTGGCTCATTCCACTTGGAAAGCCTGGGGTGAAGCCAGGGAGGGCGGCAAGCTGTTTGTGCAGTAGGGCCAGTACTGGCAAGAGGGAGAGGACAGGGATACTGGAGGGAAAATAAAAGGAGTGTCAGACACTTACACCATGGCTGGTGGGAGATACAAATGTTTAAATTGGCATCACGCCCTAATGTCAGCCAAAAGGTGCAGAATCTTGTTAAATTGCGCAGTGGGAGTTCAGACCCAAGCATTGTGCGGTCTGGGGAGTGCAGGATAAGCCAGACATGTGCAACAGAGAATGATGGGTAAGCTGTTCACAGGAATGCTTTCTGTTATAAACTGTATTTTTATCAGACAGCTTTTTTAATTTCTGTTATCAAAGCTTGACTAAATACTTCCCTCTTGAGAGCGCTTGAGGGAGTGACACTGGGATTTAATTCACTAGAGATATCTTGGTCCCGTTTTGGTTTGGGTAGCAGCTGCTGGTCTGATAAAGGGACTCTGTGGAAAAAGTTACTTTTATTATATATTCTCTGTATGTATGATACATGCTTGAATTATTAATGGTGCTGCTTCCTACAATTGAACTGTGAGATGAGAACTGCTCATAGGAGTTCTTGTAAAGTTGTGCAAAGAGGTGGTCTAGGAGGATGGAGTCTGACAGCATCAGAAGAAGATTGATGTCTCTGTAGCCAGACAATGTCTGGAGAGTATTTGCCTCCTGATGACAGATTTTAGAATACCTTTGTATTAAAAACCTCCCCTGAAGAACCAAATACCCAAATCCAACCTCAAGGAAGTGTTTATCCTTAGCACCCTCTTCTGGGCAAGTTGACAGGTAAGAGTTCTTAAAAACTTTTGTATTGTTTTAAATTACCTTGTCTCCGTAGTATCTCTAATGTTCTGAGAATCTTACAGCTTCTGACTGAAGTTTGCTGAGTTGATAAACTCTGATTGGAATTTACTGTGCGTAAAATACATTCTAAAATTTTCTTTGTTGTGGTTGGATGTTTAGTGTTTGTTTTGAATATTTTTCTTTATAATAGTACCCTTTGTGCTAGATATTTTTCACATCTCCATGAAGGTGCTACACAGGTGGCATTATATAGTATTTTTAGCATAATTAGTGAATAAAGTGGAGGCCGAAATAAGCACTGCTGTAGAAGCCCAAGCACCTGCAAGACAACTAGCTGTCATTTAATAGAAACAATGTAGAACTAATTTCCTTTTACGTTCTTGCTGCCATGGTAGCTTTCTAGTTGTCTAATTGTATGTCAAATTCTCTGTGTTTGGAATGCCAGTGGTGATGGAGCCACAGGAGAGAACTGCATAGAGCTGCTGGTTTCTCAGTCATAGCTGCAAAAGGTACTCTCCATAAGCAGTTACTTGAGGTGCCTTTTGGCAAACAGGAAGCTTTTCCTATGAAACCATGGAAACCTGAACTTTGCTTTGCCAAGCCCCTCTCTGGTCTGCTGGTTTGGTTGCTACATGGTCTCTTGTAGGGAGTGCCCTTTGGACTGTGTGAGGTTGCGTCTAACTGGGACTTCTAATCTGCGTCTGGCAAACAGGGCCTTGTGTGATCTTCTGTTTTGCTTCGTGCTAAGACTGAATTCTGTATCCCACATTCTGGCTAAGTGAAGTGTCCAAGAGAAAAGGTTTTTATTAAAAATAATATGTTTTCCCAGAAACTGCTTAGTGAAAGCCAACTCTTTTGCATTCCTAGTAATTTACTTTTTCCTCCTTTGTTCAGGGATTGGTAATGCTGCAAAAAATTCAGTGTCTTCAGGACTCACTGGAGCCACATAGCAATGATCTTTCCTTCATGGAAATCTCACATTCCTGCAGTTAACAGTTTCGTACTTTAAACTGAGAAAAAGGTGGATGGGAACTTGACCTAGATACTTAACCTACAGTGCCTTGTCAGAGAAATGTTACGTTCAGGCTTGAACTTAACCTCCGTGTTGAAGACTGAGCATGGGTTCTCATCATGAATCTTCAGTCAGTTGGTGTGTCACCAATCTTTACCTTTCTGCAGGACAAAAAATACATTCTTCTGTAGCTGTCCTTGATGTTCTGAATAAAGAACGCTTTGCATGTAGTAGTCTGATTCTTAACCATTTCACTTTGTGCTTTTTCTCAGAGGATGTGCTGAGCAAAGATGCTGGGGAGTGTGCAATATGCCTGGAAGAGCTGCAGCAAGGAGATACTATAGCACGGCTGCCTTGCCTCTGCATATACCATAAAGGGCAAGTATTCCTTAGGATGGATATAAAATTTCAGAAGGTTGCATTTAGGGGTTAATTCTTCTTAAGGGGTGCTTAAAGAAGTGCAAAACGTAGATGTGTTTTTGCACTTAAAAATGACAAAATAAACAGCAGTAGCAACCTTAAAGTGTTTTTTAAATGACATCTTTCTGCATCTCTACCAAATGTATTTGAGGTTAATTTTTCCTGTTACAAGCCTCTTATTCTTGGAAAATCACCTGGATGGGGAAGGAATGTGTATCATGGCTGAGGAGTTTAGGTCATGTGGGCTTACGTTTTGTCAAATGCAAATAGAGTTGGGCAGGGAGAGGGGGGAATGTTTTGGGTTTGTTTTCTTTTTCATAAGTGTCTAGACTTCACAGAAAGTAAAATGTCAATGAATTATATAAGCAAGATGATAATGCTAGTAGTGAATTAACCTGTGTATAAAATCTGTAATTTGTAAAATGCTTCCTTAGAAAATTATAACACTTAAGAAATTCAGGTTTTCAACAGTGTTTAATACCCAAATATTACTGTAGTTTGGGATTATTAATTTTTCCAGTGAGGTGTGTGTATGCATATACTTTGTATAACATAAAATTCTACTAGTCATTGAAATTGAGAAACCAATTTATATTCATATATTACTCCTAAATGTTACTGGTATTCATGTCAATCGATCTCATTTTTTGTCTTGTATCCAACAGCTGCATAGATGAATGGTTTGAAGTAAATAGATCTTGCCCTGAGCATCCATCAGATTAAGACAAGATTCATACTTTTAGGTAATGTTTATTTATGTTCCAACAATAAATAACTTGATTTTCTGAAATAACTGTACTATTTCTTTTTTATTGTGAATTTACTACTGTGTCTCAGAACTACAATATTAATCAGTGAGGATTGATGTATATTGCAATATAGGCAAAAGGTTTCTACATCCTTACGTGGCATGGTCTTTCCAGTTCTAGTACTGGAAAATAGCAAGTTAGTGTCAAGAAACCTTTAGCAATAACTTTCTAACCATAGAAATGGAACAAAATGAAAACAGTATGATTGTGTAATTTTGGATTGTTCCATGAGTACTGGCATGTGTGTTTCTGACAGAAGGATTTTGGAATCATATGAAAAGGTTGAAGCTAGGTATTTTCAAAACTGCTGTAATGTTACTGTGTTCCAGAATGTTTAAAGCATATAAATAAATGAAGAAATGTTGATATGTTTCTCTCCATCCCATCTCACAGAAGTTCACATTTTTCCAGCTTATGTTTTGTGTTAATGATTGCAGATCTGCAATCTGTGTTAGAAGTTTAAAGGATAGTTTTATTCTTCAGTTGACTAACTCAGAAACTTTATCTTACATTAAACAATTGCCTCTAAGCATTGCAAAGCACACCAACAATCATCATAATTCTTAGAGAAGTACAGATAGCTGAAATTCTGTCTGGTAGCTGAGAGTTTGATTTTGTTGTTCTGAGGGAAATTAAAAAAAAAAAAAATCCAAAGTATTAATGACTAGCATTTATTTGCACATTTGTTTCATGTTGCTTTGTGTGTCTCTGTTGTAGGGGTAGCAAATAAAAACTCAAGGAAGGTATCCTGCTAGGGAGATAATTGTTTTAACCTCAGGGCAATGTTAGCCAAAATAAATAAATAAACACGTTTCCTGTATTGCCCCTAATCTCTCTCTGGTAGTGGCAGAAGGCTTCATGTTGTTGGTGAACACCTCTGTCTCTGTATGTGCTCCTGGCTGTCCAGCCTCACGTTAAATTCTCTTTGCTTTTTCCACAGCAGGGATGGTGAAAACTGGGGGACTTGGAGAAAAAGGGGAAGGAAAACTCAGTGGTTATGCTTGTGCTGTTTGTTTCTGTACTGAAATAATGGTATTTTGTCTTCTGCTTTTCCAACAGCTGCTTCCACTGATCAGAAAACATAGGAGATGTGAGGTTCCCTTGCTGAACACAGCGTGCCTGGCTTGAGACTTATTTCTTTGTGGCTGAAAAAGGCAAAGATGGACAATGACACAGAGAAAGCATTGCAGACACCGTTACTTGCCAGTAGTGCTCGGTATACCAAACACTCATGCAAAGGACACACAGGGATTTTGAAAATGCTGCACATCCTGTAACAATCGACTCCCCAGAGACATTATTGACACTATTTTGTATCGAAGGCCAAAGTTCCTCGTTTCAGCCTAACTTCTGGTTCTGTGAAGAAGCGAGTTATTGGACATGTTTCCTACTGCCTCCAGTGGAAGTGGAGACGTTCGATACGTGCTATCTGAGACCCTTGCAGGGGAAAGGCCCCAGATTTGAGTGGGAACGTTTTCACCTTCTCGTTGGCTGAAGAACAGTAAATGGCAAACTAAATAAAATCTAACAGTGTGACCTTAATTTACTGAATTCACATCCTGTTTTACGTTCTTCACGTTTTTCAAGAACAGAAAACATAAACCGCTCTGCATAGGAATAGTGTATTTCAGAGTTTTGTAACTAAACCTTTGTCACAATGCAGTCCAAAGAGTAAAACCAAGACAGGTAACTAATTTATATTGATCAAGCTATGGAGATTGTTGAGATCTGCACATTGTATTGCTATTTAAGTAACTAAAACATCTCTTTTACTGCTTGTGAGTCAAAATGACAGAAAGAAATGCAGCAAAGCAAAATCTTACAGCTATGCAACTTTTTTTAAAATAGGAAAAAGAAAAGAATTACCAATTTTAAGTGCTGCCAGTTAAGGTAATTTGTTCAACGGGTATTTTTTTAAAAACGTTTCAGGTAATTATTTTATTGTACTACTCTCATCTCCCGGCTGCCTCCTGAGGTGTAAATGAATAACTGCAAATGTGGGCACAGTGAGAGGTTTTTATAGGCATGGGTGAGATACCAGCGAGGTGGGATTTGTGTTTATTTTTCAAACGTGCACAAGTTCATGTTTCCTTGTTTGAATGTTTTTTTGGTGGCAGGATCTGTAATACTTTGCATCTAAACCCTTGGTGTCTTCATGTGGAGACCAGCGTTTGACAGTGTAGGTTTTCATTTAGTTTGGGTTCTTTCTCTCTCTTTCTCCCTCTTTCTCTTTTTCTTTTTTTTAAATGCATCTGCATTTGTTTAATTTATTATTATTTTACTGTATTATATTGGTATACCAGAGCTCCACAAAACACAGGATGTCTCTGGGTGGGTACACCGAGTAAAACTGTGGATATGTATTAGTTCCCACAAAGTATCACAGTTAAAATAGGTTTTTTTTAAAAAAAAATACAATAAACTGGAACAGATATCAGGGTTTAGAAGCATACTTTTTATATCAAGAATTAATTGTAGTAGTTTTGAATTTCACAACACAGGGAAGAGTTTATGAATATTTATTAGCAACAGTATTCTTAGTGAGGTTTCAGTAGTTAAAATAAGTTGCACAATACTTCAGACATTTTTCTTGTACATAAATAATTCTGGTTGGATTTTTGGGGGGGTTTTGTTTTGGTTTTTTTTGGTTTGGGTTTTTTTTTTGGTTGGTTTGGTTTTTTTTTACACACTTCTCTCTGTTGCTGCTGTTATTTATATCAAAAAGGGCAAAGAACAGGAGCAACTGCTGCTATATGGAGAACAAGTGCAGTGCATGTTCCTAAACTCTCCCATCTTGCTTGAAGAGCAATTCTTCCCTGGATTACATTTTCTCCTGAATGTTGCTCTGTAAAATGCCTTTGTTACGCTGCAAATCTAAAGGATTCCAAACTAGATAATTGTCATAATTGCCAGTGCAGTTTCTACACTTTTGGGCTTGTATCACTGGTTTCAGCTGAACCTGTAAGCTATGGGGGGCCCTGTTGAGTTCTCTTTTTCAGTGGGAGCAGAATCATTTTGTCACACCTTTGATTCTGTAGTCACATCAAATGTACAGTCATTCCCTGTACAGAGTCCTTTTTCAATGAGAATATTTGTGTTGCCTTGTATTATCTTGGGGGAGGGAGGGAGGGGGTGAGGAGTTACAGCACATGTAATACTCAAATAGTGGTGTTGCCTGCAGGCCCATTTTCCCAATTTTTTAAACTCCTGATACCTACTGAAAGTAAAACTTTTCCACTTGCATTGATTTAATGTTTGCTGTTGGCTTCATGCCTACAGAAACTCACCTGTAGTCATGTAAAGGGGGTAGGTCGGTGTTTTGATGTCCTGTGCTCTGAGGTCATAGATAGTCTTTGGCTTGAGGGTTAAGTAGGTAAATACAACAAACTTAAATCTGTTTACAACTTGAGCTCAGTTTTAGTAGTTTGTACTTGTAGTTCACTTACTGTTTCCTTGAAAACCTTCATTTTCTGTATTCAGATGGAAGTAGATTTAAAGACCCAGCAGTTAGGACTATTGTCCCGTGTTTAGGAACAGTGTTGGAAAAGCAGGTCACTAGTCATTGCACTGGTGATGCTTTTGCAGGCAGGAGTTCATCGCTGCTTCCATCAGCACAGTAGAGCAGCAATTCCTTGGATTGTTTAAGGAACTGATGCAAGGTCAGCCTTAGTTTGACGTTCTTGGTATCTATAAATCTCCTCTGAAAGACTACGGGAGGTTTTCTTGTATTGAAACCTGTAACATAGACCAAGCCTGGAATGACCCTGGAAGCATGAGGGCGATGCTTGGGTTTGAAAACACCTGTGGAAACTCACCTAGGTAAGCTTTCTGTCACCATCAGCTGGTGATAACTGTGCTGTAGGCACAGCTCTAGACACAGACAACACCTTCATTTTGAAAATGTCCTCACAGGGGTGTCGACTCATTGTGCTTCAGAAGGGAAAAATAAACACCAAACAAGTCCTGTGTCTCAAACAAGGAACACCACACTTGTCCACAAGAAGCAATAACTTCAATTTCGGTGCGATATGCTTCTTTGCCTGTAAATATCTTGAGATTGCCAATTCTGTGCTGTTTCAGAGTATTTTCTGTCATCTGGCCTATATCTTCCCTAAGTGTGTAAGGGTGTGAAATAATTCCCATACTCAGGTCTGCCATAAACATGCTGCTTGCCAGCAGGGGAAGAGTAGATTTGACACTGTCTTGAAATGTGTGATTTTTCTGAACTTGTAGCATACCCATGTCTCTTCAGTAGCAACTTGTGTTTTGAAGTTCATAGTGGAGGTGGCTGTGAGTTGGATTGTATGTAACCATACCCCATACAATAACAAGGGAGTCAAGACTGCTGGCAGCACAGGGCACCCTTTGTCCTGGCTCTTGTCAGTATATCTATAATAATGCTTCCCTTTGGAAGGAGGTAGCTCATTTTCTTTCAGTGTATACATTCAGCAATGAGTTGAGTGGGATGTAAAAGCAAAAATACAAAGCACACCACAAATGATTGGTATTTTATTTTTGGAAGGGATAAAGCCAAAACCAGATGGTCTTATTTGTAGTCAAGTTAGCTGTCATAATCAAGGGTAAGTGTACTGGGGTATTTTGGAATGGAAAACATGTAGGCAATGTACAGAAATGTGGGTGGATAGTTGTGACCTTGGTTTTTTCCCAGCTTCCCCCCTTATGATGTTAAGGGACTTTTTGACTGAATCTCAAATTTATCTTATCCTGCTTCTTAATTTTAGGAGCACTGGGCTTTTAATTAAGCTTTTCTGAAAGGCTGGAGAGCTGCTAAAACAGACTCCCAGGAGACTGAAATCTCAGCAAATATGGGAAAGAATTTTTTTTTCAGAAACGTGGATCTTTGGTGTTTCTGGAGGGATATGTCTAATACACAAGGTGTGCTTAAGAATACTTGTAGTGCGCTACCTTTTCTATGTGAGGGCTTTAGAAACTTGCTCCATTTCTTCCATGTTCTACCAAAAGCAAGGAACTTGAATGTTACTATTCTCTCTTTGTAAATGGTAGCAAAACATGCTGGTTTTGATACAGGTAGTGATCTCTCTGAGTTTCTGTGGCTTTTAGCTGCTTTCCTGTATTGAAAGAGTATTTGTGTGCAAATGTGGTATTAATTCTGCTCTGCAGTTGGGAGTTTCCTGCTGAGAGAACGCCTGGGAGTGTACAAGTGCTACTGTGGGATCTTCCAGCTCACCTTTGCCAGTGGAAGATTCTCTTTTTTTGATGATTCACTTTCCACCCTTCCAAGCTTAAAAGTCATTTTGGTATCAATTTCTTCTCCGCCTAGCTGAAGACAAAGATGTATGTTAGGCCATATTCCCACATGATTAGGCTTTTCATTGGCATGAGCAAAAGTGATGTGAGAGGTTGTAACTGTAAGAGAAGGCTTGTTACAGGTTTCCTACAGTCCAGCCAAATGTGTTTTTTTTCATGCAGCTCCTACCACTTCTTGTCATTCAAAACACTCTGCGAGAGAAATTCACAACAGAACTATGTCCAGGATTTGTTTCCTGTACAGAAAATGTGTGATGTTTCTGCTTCTCCACATAAGTTACCCTGCTCCTAAAATCAAGTTGGAGATGTTTTAGCCTGTTGGGGGTTAAGAAAACCAACCCAGTCCATACTCTCAAATTACATTTGGTTATCTTACTCCACAATTGTAGGCTGGCTTCCCAAGCTGCTTGTGTTCTGTAAAGTCATGTCTCAATTAGGACATCAGAGCTGATGATGGGATAAGCTGTAAAATGACCTCACTGTGGGGCATTATTAGTTGTTGAAGAGTTGCTCAGGTAAACCACCATAGGAATATCCTGCACCTGAAAAAGGCTGGACTTGGTTCTGTCTTGGATCTAATAAGTTGGCAGTGTACAAGAAGTAGAAGGCAGCCAGCCCACTCACTGATCTTTCTGGCAGCTTTTAATCTATGTGTGTTTGTTTGAGAGACTTTTGCCCTTGGGTGTGCTTTGGCAAAGATTTTGCAACGATAAATAGGATTTGCTCGATTTTGGCAGAGTTTCAAGTGTAAGTAACCCGACATTGCAAGAACATAATCTGTTGCTGAATCCTGTTCCTCTTGTTTTCCCTCAAATCTGTCCCTTTTAATGCTGATATATGATATTTCATAGTAAACACTTCTCAACATGACTGGTCACAAGCTCTCAAGGTGTGAAATTCTAAGAGGAAGAGACATCAAAGGTTGATTCTGTGCTCTTGTATATATGAAAATGAGGCTGGAATATTTGTTACCATACAGTGAAGAATTTTCCCCTAGCTGATATTGCCAAAGCACTGTAACTTTCAAGGAAGAAGGGAGGTGGCTTAGCTGTAGAGGGGATACTTTAATGAACTACGTAAAAACTTCTTGTAACAAATTTTAAGAGCTGTGGTGTGGCACTGAATGAGTGGTGATCCAGCATTAACCTTTATCCCTTGATTACAAATCTCATTCTGACTCTTCCTACCCTTTGGCAGATACCTGCTGGTAGGGAGCAGGATGTGTACTCCCTTTTTTTTATATGCCTCTTCCTACAGAGCTAACCTTGCCCACAGTGAGCTGGAGGGAAGTCCGTGCTAGCATCTGAAATGCCACCTGTGTGTGCAGTGGTAATGGACAAGATACCTTCCTTCATTACCTGGAGCAGATATCAGAATGTAATTTGCAATGTCTAATGTAAATGTAAAACATATTTGTTTGTTTTGCTGTTTTGTTTGTTTTGTTTTTTAATTGAGCAGTATGATTGCAAGTTGACTTAAGTTGTTCTAAGGTACTCTTTTCAGTGGTTTGCCAGTACATAATCATGAATGAAAATATTTTTTTATTGATTTTTAGGTTGTATGTTTAACATTCCATTCATGTAAAATATGTACAAATATATGTAATAAATCTTTTGAAGCACAGTTTTCCTCACACTCACAGGTGATTTTTTTTAAATTTTTTTTTAAACTATTGATCAAAGAGGCATTGCTGTGGGACAGAACCTCTCTGTCTGTGCTGCAATTTGAGCTGGAGCAGAGGAAGGAAAAGCAGTGCATGGTTTAGAGTCACAGCCAGAAAAGCAGCTTGGCATCTCACCTGTCTGCAGTCCTGCAGAGGTGGGAGTGCACCCCTCTGAGCCAGCCTCTGTCCCCTCGGAGTCCCTCTCACTGTTCACCTGTCCCACAAGCAGTGATGTGACAGGTTTGCATCTGTCAGGCCAGGGAAGGTTGCAGCAGGTGAGAGCTGATGTAGCTGCTGTTTTGTGGGGATGGATGGAAGTGAGATGTCTCTGGTTAATGCATCCTCTGTAGATCTTGAGCAGACATGAATGGCCTTCAAGGTTAGCAAAAGTTAGAGCTGCTAGGTCAGGAGGTTGGGAAACTCATGGGTGGTTTCAAAAGAAAGAAAAAAAAAAAAGGAATATGGGGCGAAGATGGTTGCAAACAGTCCTTTCACATCACCTGGAGTCTGGGAACCTCTGTCAGAGGATCAAGGTAACTTAATTGCTGCTTTTTCCTTCAGGTTCCTCAAACCCAAATACCACTTTAGCTTCCTCCCAAAACACTTCATGGTTGCCTCTTGAAAACAGATTCCCTGACAGCATACCTGTGGCTGGGCAGTACGTGGATTTCTTTGTACCCTGATGGTTACCAGCACTCTCGCCTGCCCCTGAACAGCTGGAAGGAGGCTACTATAGCAGGCTCCTGCAGGGACATGTTGCTGGAGGAGGGAATTTCTGCCCAGAGCCACTGAGGGTGTTAAATTGTTCTCCAGTGGAGCATCCTGGTATGGGCAGAACACTGTGATGCTGACTGCCTGGAAACTTTCTCCTGCGGCAGTGGCTGCAGCTCTGCAAGGCAGGTCACCTGCAGCAGGTAGCTGTGCGTGTGAGAGACCTGGCTGGCTGTGTCACCACTCCAAATCTTCCTGCCTGGCCTGGCAGCAGCTGGGGAGCTGTAGCCCTTCTGCTGGATGTAAAGTGAGATGAGGACAGGAAAACGGATGAGCCGTGTGGTTTTGGGTAGTGTACAGGGTAAGTCTGCTGCGGGGAAGGTGTGATTTTACACCTCTCCCCCCACACCAGTTGGGAGTGGAGCTGTGGGTGCTCAGAGTAAAACCAAGTGCATTTCACCAAGGTTATGTGGAGGATGTGGAGGAAAACGAAAGGAGTTCACTCTCCAGGCAGGAGATGCTTCTTGGATGCTGTTCCCAGCCGGGGGGAGTTGTGCAGGCTGGTAATACCTGCTGATGGAATGTGATGCACCGATCTATGGCACAGGTTCCAGCTGTGTGTCTGTCCTTCCTTGCTCCACTTTTGAGATAAGCCCTTTGGTGTGGCTGGGGGTAGCTGAACCCACTGCTAAAAGCACAGTGACAATTGGACCATCACAATTCTCTCTGTGGGAGATGGTAATTCTAATGCATGAATTATTCAAGTCTGCAGCCAGAAACAGTTGGATGTAGTAACTGAGGAACATGTTCCTATCATTTGTTAGAGTAACTTTTTTTCCACCACCCCTCCCCACTTCCCCAGCCGCTCCTGCCGGTCGCCTTCTGGAAAGCCTGAATTCCTTAACTGCCGGTTATTTCTGTGTTTTCCTCCTCAGTCTTGAGCTGTGTTATGGAAGCAATCGATAACTAGTTAGAGCCGAGTTTGGCTTAGCATCAGAAAAATCTGCTGGAAATCGTTCCAGTTCAGTAGGTACAGGATTTCATGTGTGAAATTTAAATTAGTAGCATCTGTTGGTATTACATCCTACCTTCCTCCCTGTGGCTAGGACAGGGGACATGCCATCTCTGTCCCAAGTTGCTTGTCCTGTAGGGTGAACTGGGATACTGTGCTGGCCCCAGGGTGTTCCTGGGAACTGTCAGCAATCGATGGTGATGTTGTACACGTGTGTGTGTGTGTGTGTGTGGGGCCCTGCTACCACACGCTGTTGTTTAGTACAGCCAATGGTCCATGTCCACTTCTGGATGCTGTGTTGTTCTTAGCAGAAAGAGGGAAACAACACACAGCCTGCAGCAAAGAGAGCAAGAAGGTGGGAAGAGTCCCCTGCAGCAGCAGGAGCTAAACAGGGAAGCTCCTCCCTTGGCTTTTGGGTCTCGGTCTGTAAGGTCTCGGTCTCCGAGGCTGCAGCACCTGAGCAATGTCTGTGCCGGGGGGTGCAGGCTGGAGCCTGCTGCTGTCTGCAAACATCCCCTGCCCTGTTTGCTCCGTAGAGGAGGCTCCCAGCTCCATCCCACCATGCAGGGAGAGGGGTGCTGGTGTCCAAAAAGCAAAACAGGGCCGTAGAGCCTTGAGGTGCCGTGCAGCTCACTCCTGCTGTCTCCTTGCCAGCCAGCCACTGGCAAACAAGGAGCCTCTGCAAAAGCCAAGTGAGACGGAGTTTTCCAGCCCTCATGTAATAAATCATCTGTTTTCTGAGGGGGATGAGATCAGGGATGCACAGTGGCAGGGAGGAGGGTGTGACATAAATAAATAATTGCATGTAGCCCATCCTCAGTTGACGCAAGATGAGTCACTCCTCGCAAAGGCAGGAGCGTGGCGGAGGCAGACCTGAGGCGCAGGGACAGGGCCCGGGCCGAGCCCGCTGGAAGCGGCAGGTGCTCGGTGCCTCTCCGCCCTTGGCCCCTTATCTTCCGAGGCAGCTTTTGCGCCGAGCTTCTGCCCTGCTTTCGTTTCTTCCTGTTTACAGATGCCTTTGTTTGAACACGCGTTTACATTTTAACAAAACCTCCCCCTGCCTCCCCTCCCTTCCCTCCTGGCTGTTTCTTTGAGCCGGCTTCAAACAGAGGGAAGAGGAAGCTGCCAGGCCTCGCCCCGAGCCCCATCGGGCTGTGTCACCGAGGAGCCGCCACGGTGGGGCTGTTCCCTCCCCGCCTGGCACTGGCGGCTTCTCCCTCCCCCTGCGGACCGGGTGACTTCTCAAGGCAGCAGCTTTCCTCCTCACAAGTCACCCGGGCCAGGATTAACATCTGCTAAACTCGGGATTAAAGTGTCTGGCAGGTAATGGGAGCATGAAAGCTTGACAGCTTCATTTGCTCCAGCCTGTGAGGTCCAAGTCTGCCAGCTTCAGCTAATTAAGTTGCTGCCTTCAGTGTATAAAGGGGGATCCCCAGACAGGAGAGGCTGGGCATAATTTAATTGTTCGCAAGGGGTTTGCTGGAGCTCTGGCTCCCTGCCCCACGGGAGCAAGGGGGACACTTCTGCACTGGGGCTGGTTTGCTGCCACCGCTCGCTGCAGTGACAGAAGTGGCTCTTCAGTCACCTCCTGAGCCAGCTGCCTGTGTGGGGTGGGATGGGCAAGCGTGGCACCTTTCTCAGACCAGCACTGCACACTGGGCAGCCTCCTGGGGCTGTCGGGAACCCCTGCCAGCAGCTCTGGTGCCAGCAGCAGCTGCAGGCCCTGTGTGTGGCAGGAATTTCTGTATCGCCACCCTACAGGGCTGCTTGAGCCCGGCGGGTGCTGACCTCGAGTGGGTGAGGTGGCATCAGCACTGCCCAAAACCTGCTGTTTTCCAGTGCATCACCCAGGGACTCCCCGTCTGCAAAAGGCACAGGACATTTCCTGCTTTCCCAGTATAAAGCAATGACTGTAGTTTTTGCCCCTGGCTGAGTAAGACCAGTTTTTATTCCTTAACCCACCTGCTGTGACCTCTCATGCCTTGGTGCTCCTGCAGCTGAAACTGCTGTTTTCTCTGAAACATCATCCCTGTTTTCAGGTCCCTCTAAGGGCAGCTATTTCAAACGTCTGCAGCTCATGCCATCAGCTCTCATTTACCTCTGGGAGTGGAGAATGAATATGGGCTGACCTCAGCCCTCTCAAGACTCACAGGGGATTCGATCAGCAATTTCCCAGGATGAAAGAGGGGCTCCCCTAGCACCTGTGGTACTCCCTGCATCCTCCCACCTTTTGTTCCCACTCCAGCAAGTGAAGAAGGACTTGCCCCAGTTGCTCTGCTGTGTTTTCAGAAGGCTGACCTATCCCACAGAGCAACTAAGAGCCTCCAGCAAGCAAGAAGAAACCTCCTCCTGTGAGTAAATTTGGAGTCCCTGAGTGCAGCTGGCAGCTCCCAGCCTGGCCTCCGTTTTCATCTAGCACGATCCTGCTGTTTTGTTTCTACCTACTAAAGCAGCAGTTAAGGCCTTTGTGTACAGCTGCAGCTTTTTTGTGCCAAGATTACTCGTTCCATCCGCTGAAAACCAAGCGGTTTCTGCAGTGACCTCTCCTTCCTCATGGCAAACCCATCCCTCACTGCTGTTCACCTGGCTCTGATGCAGCCTGACTGCAGCCATTTGTACAGCTTTGCAGTGGGCTCCTGTTTCTGTCTGCTGAGACAAGGTAAGGGAGCAGAATGAAGCTACAGAAAAGCAGGCATGGGTATCTTGCTGTATTTTGGCATCAGTACTGCTCCCTCGGCATGGGATGGTGAGATTGGGATCCTCCGCTGGCTGTGGTTGAAGAGCACAGGCTGTATGGCCTTGCACCACCCTGCAAATCATAAACTGTGGTCTGGCACCTGGAGACATGTGTGGCACCAAGTGAGCCACACCAGGCTCAGACCAACACCCGTTCCCGAAGACCTGAAGGCAGTGCGTGACTGGAGCAGCACTGCATCGTGGCAGGGCTTCCTTGAGGGCTGCAGGGTCACCTGGCACCAGTAAACACACACAGCTCGCACCAGCCAAATACAAGTAGTAACACCTCAAGCCAGCAAGTCTTTGCCCCCAGCAGCAGCAGGTGGAAATGCAAAGAGCTCCCGTAGTCAGTGTGGCAGGAGGATTACAGGGGCACAGCATAGCTGCAAGCACATCCCTGAGGCAGCACTGTGCTTTCCCTCGCTGCCCTTAACTGGATTGGCACCTGCCTCTGGAAGGGCCCCTCATGGGCAGTGGCAGCTGTGAAAAGCCTTCTCCAGC